TCGCCTTGCAGTGGTCGATGCAGTGGGTGTGGCCATTCTTCACGTACACCTGGGTGCTGTCGCATTTCCTGAAATTCAGTTATTAATAATTGAAAGTTGAAGGTTTTCTTTGAGGGCGAGCTTACCTATTGAGGCGAATAACACCCTTGGTCTCTCGCACCATCAGGGCCTGTTCCCAGAACTGCACGGCTTCCGGGAGTACGGTGTCCTGAAATGGGTTTAAAGCAAAGTCTTCAGCTCAGTAGCCATGAAAACCAGAGATGTCAACTCACATTTATCAAATTAAATTTCTCCTCTTCCAACCTGGCAGGTGGCGAGCGTGAAACAACAAGAAAATAGTTTTGTATATTAGAACTTTAGGGAAAAGAAGAAGGAGAAGGCAGTGTTTTGTTTATTAGCATCTCTAAGGATAAGGGCGGTGCCACTTCCAAAGCTGTGGTTGCCGTTATTGTAAAGATGTGGGGATGGATTTCTGGGAAATTTGAGAAGTTAATTTCGTGTTTTTGATAAGCCAGAAAAGCCGTAATAAAAAAGGTTAAGGCATGTATTTGGTGTTGCTTTTGAAGCTTGTTTTTCAAGAGTTATTGGTTTCCTATAGGAAACACGTATTCAATGGCTGAAAATGAATTATATTTTGATCGCACAAATTTTATAAAATGTAATTATCTTTTAATACCAAACAGATTTGTAGTTGCAAGATTCGATTTAAATTCCCTTAAATGAAGATCTCAAATTAAGAAGTTATAAATCCAAATTGGGCTTAGACCTAATGTGAAAATAAGCAGCAAATCAGATTACAAATTGTAGATAAATATAATCCTATTTATGGGGCTTGCAATAAACAAACACTTTAAATTGTTAACGGCTTGTAATCGATTACAAATTGTGAATTCCCAAACGAAAGCACTTTTACGCGAAGGTCAACTGCCTGACACTCAGACCAGGTAATTGTGTACCTGTTAGCACCTGTTTGAGTCACTTATTCACGACTAAATAATTCATCGAATCGAAACTGAAACCGAAGCCGAGACCCAAAATTAAAGCCAAGTGAAGTCAACTCTCCGCTTTCCTGTTGACCTTGTCCGCAGCCATTGCTCGCCAATCGATCGGGCGGATCGACCCGAACTAACTGTCTGTGGGGCGATCTGGCCAGTTCCAGTGACCATTCGGTCATTTGACCATGTGGATGGAGCAATCGATGGCCAACCTTAGGAGACACCTCGGCCCACTGCGTTGATTTGGACAAATTGCGCACACATGGCCAACCGATTCGGGCCTGAGGTACATATATTGTTACCCAACCCGAAGCGGCCGTAACGGTGCATGGCCAAAGCAAAACGGTCGGAAGAGTGAGTTGTTTACTCGCTTTTGCGCGGCTCTGTGTTAACTTGACATTCGGCCAAGTCAAATTGTAAACTGTTTTTCTGTCTGCTTGGCTGGCTGCCATTAAAGTGCAATTAAAGCCAATTTTCAGAGCTGGAGCACAGATTTACACTGGCAAAAAGTTGATTTTTTTTTCCTTTTTTTGAGAATTTTATGAATTATAAGATTTTATTGGTACAAATTTATGTTTTAAAGTTTGTGCATGGACATTTTAAATTTCTTTCCTAATACTGTTGGCTTGTGTATATAGCTTCATTATGTTTTCTAATCTAAGTCTCTGGTATAAAAAAGGCAACACTGCGAATGAAAGGAGTAAACCAATTTAAATATATGAAGTGTCTAGGTATAAGTTAAAAACGAAATCATTAATACAATTTATTAAAACTTATTTTTGTTATTGTTGTGTTTTCTAATAAAATTTTGCATGTGAGGATTAAAATAACAACTATTTGTTCTCAGTAAAGTTTAAGGTATTAGAATTTCCGAGAATATGATTTACATGATACTATACTATACTAAACAAACTTAAATGTTTCTTATCAACTAATTTTAAATGTGTTGATTTTGGCTTATAATTTTCCAGAGTGTATCCGGCACTCACCTGTAGACGGAGTCGTCGTAGACGAGCAGAATCCGCAGCGGCTGGTCGGCGGCAACGCTGCGCCGGCGCACGCTATGCCTGGCTGCCTCTCCGGCGGAGTCATCTTCGCTATCAGCCAGTTGGATGCGCACGCCATGGACGACCTATAAAACGAAAGATGGATGGATGATGAGGCCGATGGATAGTAGATCGCGATAGAGCCGGAAAGTTAAGGAAAGGGAGAGTAAACGGAGACGAAGGCGAAGGCGAAGACGAAGAAATCAAGAAATCACTCAGCGGAGCTTAAACGAAAGCGAAATTTCGTTGTTAACTATTTAATGACGACATGTAGTCAGACAAAGGCCACACAAAAAGGCAGTTCCACGCCGGTAATTGGTCTGCGCAAATTGCAGGGAAATTAATTTTAAATTGCCCGCCAAAATGTCGAACGATTGGCACATCGAAATGTCAATGATTTGTGGGGCTGGTTATTTTGTTTTGGGTTTTATTTAGCCCGTTGTTTCGGCGCTGCCATTGTTTCGTTATTATTGTGCTCTGCGGTCGCATTGTGCAATCTGTGCCAATTATTAGGAATAAATTAGATGTCTTACTTGCATGTGTATGGCCCAGCGGCCTTTATCCGCAGATAATCCGCTGACACACAGACTAAGCACTTGACACTCATCAGCATAAATTGTCGCCGCCATCTCGGCGATGCGCTTGAGTGCGGGTGCGGCTAAATATATGCTCATCAAATATGTGTACATTGAAAGCAGTCTGTCCGGAAAGCGGTCTTAAAAGGTTCTTGCTGCTCGACAAGTCTCCGGGGAGTAGGGCATGAAAACGAAAGTGTCTTTGCTGCCATCATATATGAAAGAAAAGCCAGCCAGACGGAGTGAAAGGCAGTGGCAAACGACGACGATGGCAATGGAAATTATAATAAAGCTAATTTGCACTCAAGAAATGAATTGGCAGACAGCTTAGCTGCCTTAATTAATGGAGCAGCAAATGTCCCCCATCGTGGGAAGTGATTCGCTAGGTGTTCTCAGTGCCCAAGTATGGGCTGTAACCGCCGGTAAATGGCAAAGTTAGACACCTGCACGAACCCGTAGAAAACACATTCCTATTTATCCAAGAACAACAATAGTTATGGCAATCGCCATCTGACAAAAGAGTTTGGCATTGAAATGAGCTAAGCAAACAGTGGTGGGGTTCCGCTGAAGTGCCACGGCTTCGACTCGATCTCGAGATTTATCTCGCACCCATCAAAGCCATCGATGCTCTAATGACTAGGGATCAACCGGCAACGTGGCAATATCTGTTTGTCATTGTGTCGATAATTTTTTTCTTAAAATCATTGTTTATTAATTAAACATATAAATTGAGCTAAAAGTTTTATGAATTTAACCAAAGCAATAATAATCAACGAGTATCTTACACAGTGCTAACTTACAAGCTAAATTTCAAGCTGCATTTTCTAATTTTAAGAGATTAAAAAAAATAAAAATATATACAAATTTAAGAGCTAAGAAAAAAAGATTTCTTTAAGCATTATTATACTAATTAGGACACATTTTCATTAATAGAGTTTGGTAAACTTTTACGTAAGTACAATGTTATTCTATGGCTTTCTGTAAGTGTAAAGTGTAAAGATCAGCCATCTGTTATTATATTTTATGTCACTATCATGGAGGATTTGCTATATCATCACCGAAATTCCCCTCATAGACAACGCCCTGCTAGTCATGTGCTATTAAGGTAAGTAAAGTATACATAAACCATTAAAGATATACATCTTTAAAGCCGACTATAATCGTGACAAAGACCCTCGAAAAAATAAGCAACATAATGTACGATCTTCACATTGATCGTGCCCGGCTGGGAGCATTATCCCCCCAAAACCCCATAAGGTGTTGCGGTTGAGTGCATTGAAAAAGCATTTGAAAAACCGCACAAATTACAAATCATCTGCGAAACGTTTGGCTTTGGCAGGTGAAAGACGATGACGCACAAAAGCATTTAGACGGGCAGCTCGATGGTTTTACTGTCTTTTTGGAGGAGAGTGGATTCGAAAGGAGGGGGAATTCGAGTTATGGCGGTGTCTATATCTGTGGGGCATTAATGCAACCCAGATGCATTGTTATGTGAACCGTTAACAGTTGAATGGACAGCTTTCATTAATAAACACGATGTTTTAATAATTAAGAACTTTATTCATATTTAAAAATATATTATATATTTATAGACGAACTATTTATTACATAATTCATTTGTCTATTTGCTATTTATAAATAAGTGTTTAATTGATTTAAGTAATAAGTAAGAGTTACTAACTTACTCAAACAGTTATATTCAAGTGAGATTGTTTTCAACGTCTAAGAACCTGGATAGTAACGATCGGACGTCTATATCTTATAGCTTCCATTGGAATTACTGTTACACTTTTGTTATTCTTCTCGCTACTTATGCAGTTTTAGCAATTTCGGCAAAGTCTGCAAAGGTATTAAAACTTCGGCTTGGCGAAGTTAGCTTCTGTCCTAGGCTTTGTATTGCTCAATGTAACTTTTTTTCTTCACAACACTAACAATATAAAATCAGACAAAATGCAATTAACAATTAACGATTATTAAAAGAAAAACAAATAGCTGACCTAATATTCATTTCAAAACCAAAAAAAAGCGTTAAGTACTGAGCCATTACAAGTTCTGAGCACCAGCTGTTTATTTGTGTTTATTTTTGATTTTTTAAGCCAACTGAGTAAGGTTTACCAGTCTCAATATTTAAAAGCTAATTTTTACATATTATATATGATTTAAGTTAAGCATAGAAGAAAGTTCCTTATTTCCAGTCTTTATATGATCGTTTTTAAAACGTTTTCAATTGTCAATCACAAATGTCCATATCGTGAAAGCTTTGCAATAAAAATAATTACAAGTTGTGAAAAATGTTCTTTTTTTTTGGACGATAATGTAAAATCAGGCCAATACCATCAACAATTACTAATAATTAAAATGAAATCAATATACTATTACTGCGAACGGACCAACAAAATTTCAGAGTTAAGCCATATAATGATCAGAGCACAAGGTTTTTATTTTTGCTTATCTTGGATACTTTACAACTTGAGTAATATTCATGTGAGTTTTTTTCAATTTCTAAGAAACTGTTTAGTAAAACTAAGTTTTGCGCATGTCAAGGGTTCCTACAAGTTTAATTCACTAAAGTGCGACGTTCTTGCTCCAGAGATGGGTTATGTAAAGCAGTGCCTGATCAAGGCAATCGATCGGAAGCACAATATGATCAACATTGAAGCGATTCTGAATAAGACCATAACAGAGGTAATGAAACCAAAATACCTGTTAACCAGAAACAACTAAAAGTAATTTCTGCCCTAGTTTGAGATCCATTTTAAGATGGTTAAACGCGAAATCGGCGGTTGGCATCCATTTTTGTACGATATGAGAATTGATATTTGCCAATTCTTTAAAAACCAAAGGAAGTTTTTTATTCCAAATTTTATATACTCATTTATAAAGCCATTTACAAATGTGAATCACACCTGTCCATACTTGGTAAGCGTGGCAATAAAAACATCTATCATTGTTAAATAAATTAATTCCATTCCTTTAAAGGTTGGGACAGAGATGCGTCTTTGGCATTGGAGTCCGGACGAAGATGGAGTAATAGCCAAATTTCCAGTAGACCATGGTCAGTACGGGCTACAAACAACATGGTACATCAACAAAGTCACCACATTGAAAATAAATGGGTCTGTTTTATTTTTCAAATAATATTATCAGTGTTGTAAACAAAATTATAAATCTGTTGTAATAAAGCGATATTGGGAATGATAATAGTGTAAATAAAAACTATCGATAATATATTTTTTTTAATTTTTTTAAAGACGTGGTAACATTTCCCTACACATATGAAGTGCATTGCCTTACTATCTTTTGAAAATTAACTCAGTAATATATTTTTGATAGGAAATTCTACCAAATGATGGTATAATCGTTGCTTTGATAAGATCCAATTTTTCCATATTTTTTGGCCACACTTTCTAAGCACCGCCGGTATGCACATGGGCTTATTCAATCGGTGATAAGACGTAATGCTCAACCGGCTTGCATACTAACACAGATATTCGCGAGTGGCAAACAAATTTTTTCGGTTTGTGGGCCACATTCGAGCGTGTCCAGCTTTGGCCATGCGACTCACGTTTAAGGCAGAAATGGTAGCAATTCAAAAAAAAAAAAAAAAAAAGCGAAGCACGGCCAAGAAAAGCAAAGAGAAATGTTCGTTTTGGATACAGTCGGCTGCGCCTGCTCCTGCCTGATTACCTCCCGTATTTACTTTTAGAGCCAAACAAATAAGAGACGGCTGAAAAAGCTGTCATAAATGGCCAACTGCAAGCCACGCACGTTTGCTTGAGGCGAATAGAGGGGAGATTTGGCTGGAGATCGGGATTACGAAGCGCCAACGCGGTTTGTCCAGTTGCGCATGCTAATTTGGGCGCGGGAATCGATCATCGATGGTGGTTGAGTAATTATTTACGTCTGTCTCTGGCTCGGAGGCAGTCACTCTGTCTGCCAATCGCTAACCAATCCGTAACTGACAACATTTATGCGTCTTCATCCGTTTACACTCTCTTCCGAACAACAGTATTGCAGGGAAAAAAATATTTTACGGCTAGGAAAATTAGAAACATCATTAGCCAAGTTTGTAAAATCGGATACGGATATGTTAAATTATTCAATGGTAATAAATATTAATGCTGTAATTGAATCGAAACCACAATGAAATTTCCATAAATATCATGTTGTTATGATATCAAATAACATATTCAATTTTTGTTCCCCTTTTCAATAACCTAATTTTAGGACTGCGTATTTTGGCGAACAAAGATACCCACGTTTATCAATATTCATGAAGCTATTCATAAAAAAAGAAAAACAATACAGCTTCCATAAAAGTCAACCTTGATCCCGATTTTAGTAACATAATTTTCAGATTGGGCACTTTTAACTTTGCAAAATAACTTAAATCTAACAAATTAATTAAAAAAAACTAATGAAGTTTTAAGAAACATGACAGATGAATGACAGCTTTGTAAGTATTTGTCTGAGTGTAATTTTCCGATGGCTGTCACCTGCGTTCAACGCTCGCTCAAGTGCGGCAGATCAATCGAAGTCGCGGCTTTCAACTGAGCGTTTGTATATGGGCTTTCACTTTCGTTTGCCTACCACTCTCACTCTTGGATTCTCCCGAGCAGTTTCGCTCTTTTTCAGCTTACCAATTTTTATTTTTGTATAATAGTTTCTGAGCCGGGTTTTGCCGATGGCCACTTTGCATGCTGTGCCACTTGGTTGGCTCTTTCGCCTTGCTCTTGTTTCGGTCCCTCTTTGTCTGACTCATCTGTTCGCCGACTGCTGATTATTTTTACTCAATTCGTTCGTTACCTCACAGTTTGACCGCAAAAAAACTGTGTGTTACTTAATTGAAATTATGAACTGCAGCTAATCTGAGGCACTTTAGCACCAGCTGAACGCCCGGATCAGCAGCTATTCAAGTGGCACAATTTACGCCGCAAACTCAAGCAAATTGAATGAGTTCTCCTGGAATGATAGTCTAGCCAATTGAATAATTGCATTAACTGGCACAAACAGTTCCATGAAATCATTGGTTGCTTTTTCAATAAAATTAAGTCTAAAGTTCCAGCGAATAATGTGTCGAAAGCTGCACAAAATGTCATGTACATATTGTCAGATGCAATACATATTTATGTAATAAAATCGTGTAAAATAATCTTCTTGTAAAGCGCAATTTTTAAAATTGTGATTTAAATTGCAATTTTTGCAGTTATTCATTCAAACCCTCACATTAATTATTTCAGTCATTTTAAACCAATACTTTCTGCGAGATAAACACACGTTTTTAGGTAACGTTTTATTAAATTATTGGTAATCCCTAATATGTGATTTATACAGAATTATTTTGTGAAATTAGAATCACGGCCACATGTTTTAATTCATTAATAATAATAATAAAAACATTTTTGTAGCCGAATCAAAGCCCAAATAAACAATTCATACTGAACAATACTATTATGAAGGTGTGAACGCGGCGCCACATTTGTATGCTTAAATTACTAAAACAAGACTTAATTAGTTTGTGATTCAATTAAGAGCACGTTCCCCTGCAAATCCTGAAATGGCACGTTGTACTACAGAAGTGCAGAATGAATACAACTAAAATGTAATGCTTGTTTGCAAATGCAGATGACGAAGATGGAAGCGAAATGCTGGCTTTTAAAGGGGACAAATGCAAGGACCTTGCCCGGTGACCTCAATCACCTTAGGAATAAAGCTGTTTCTGCAAAAGGCACTTGCTAGCCCGCTGGCAGATGTCGGTGTTTTGTTTCAAGCCAGTAGCTCTTAATGGCCCTGAAGCGGCATCATTATAAACAATCGTCAGTCAATTTGGCCAACTAAATTTGCCTTTCAATAATAACGTTTCGCTAACCTGCGCGCACCAGAGATAAATACAGATTTGATTCACTTTATGCCATTACTATGGTAACTACTTTAAATGTAATAAAAAAAACGGGAATTGCAGTCGTTATGAAAGAGTTCGACATTCTAGAGAAGAGAAAAATAATAATTTAAACTTTTTAATTTGCAAACTTTAAAATTTTAATTGCTTTTTATAAATGAGGGAAATACTGGTAAATAAATCATAAGCATAAACTTAAATTTAATAATTTTTGGGAAAATGAAAACAACATGTGTTTCCAGTTTTTTTATTTATGAGTTTACACTAAACTTATTTTGCTATAAAACCATTGTTCTTCCTAGTCGTTTTAATTAACTTTTCGTTTCTTAGGTCATCGTATTTTTAATTCCCTTTTTTGGTATAATCTTACTAACACAAATTTCATAGTAACCATTATTTGAGACAGGCAATATAATGTTCTATAGTTTAAAAATTTCTTTTTTTTAAAATACATTAAGTTAAGTGCTGCTATTGAAGCTGTGTAACTATGGTGCGTAATTGGCCACTTAGCATTGCAATCGCTATTTTCTTGGCAAAAGCAGGAAAGTCCGTATTCGATTTCCCTTTGCCTCTGCACTCCCACATTTCAAGGATGCTTCAAAGTTTTGTGACTGGCTTCTTGTTTGGCTGTCCTAACCGTTTATCTACGGAGAAACTTGTTTGTTTAAAGTTTGTTTCGTCAAGTATAAATATTTAATCGTGAGCAATGGTTGGAGCAAAAAAGGAGAAGTATGGAAAGACAGGTATCTACATAGTTAAAATGTAAATGGAAATACATGTAGATGTTTGCAAGACAAATCGGCGATATGATTGCATTTGCATTTGCATTTCGTGTTGAACAGGATAGAAAATATGATTTCAACATGATCTTAAATCAAATATGTAAAAACCTAGAACCTAAGTAAATTATAGTCAAAAAGAAATAATTTTAGCTGAAGAGATCTATGTAAATGCATACCCTACTGCATGTAAGTGCATTTTAATTAAAGAGCTTATCCAATTTAGTCTAGCTGCAGGCTCAGTACTTCAATTTGCGAATAGCTGCGAAAAAAAATCTTTTACACTGATTAGTAAAAGGTAGCAGTGTAACAAAAGCAAAAAAAAATAATTAAAGCTGGCAGCAGTTTGCAGATTTCAATGAAATTCTGTTAAAGTTTAAACTTTAAAGTGCACTCTGGGTTCGCGTTTATCGGCTTACAGGGCCAGTACAGTGTGCGCCATTTCTGTCAGGCACGCACACTGGCAACGTGACAAACAATTCAATTTGGGGATTTTACATAATATCGCCCTTGTTCTCGCAGTTGTTGCTGCTTCCTTCAATTTATATAAGTATAATTACAATTGAGTGCTTCGGTTTCAACTGGACCGGTATTTGATTGGATGGGTATGGGGGTTTCGTTTTCGGGGTCGCTGCCCGCATTTATGTCCTAATCCTCCTTCGCAATCACTGTTTCTGACAGGATAATTTAAACTGGGCTGTCTGCCCGAACATTCCGTTGGCAGGGAGACAAAATCTGGCTGACTGTTCTTTGCATTTATAACAGTTTAAGTTACAGATAATTCAATTAATTACACGCCGGGCGACCTCGACAGCATCGTTAGCCATCGACAGACAGTCGCTGAATTAATTTTCCCCGGCTGTTCGAGTTCACTTTTACTTGTTTAACCAAAGTGGTAACTCGCTTATTAAGTCGTTGTGGTTGAAAAGTTTTTCAACACCTTCTTGGCTTTTTAAAATAATAATAGCAAACTTAGTATTTAGAAATTGGTTTGTCCAATTTAAAAGTTCTCTTTAATTTGTATTCAAAATGTGCCACAGTAACATACAAATTGTAGCTGCTAGTCTATTAAAAATATTCTATTAAACTTTGTTTCGGAAGAATTTTATCACTTTAAAATTTTCTCTCAAGATTTAACATTTAATTATTATTTGCAAAATTGAAAGCTCTGAATTCTGAACGAAGACAAAAGGTATTTTCAAGAGTATACTTTTGTATGAAGCTTTAGCCTTAAAAACGCATTGAAACTAAATGCCAATCCATTCAATTATTTGCTTCCAATTTGCAGAATTGAATTTGATTCTCAGAACTATAACTTTTCAAGTAAGCTAGGACTTCGCGTTTTTCCCAGGAAGTCTAATTTTCTTTCTGGGAAATAGCAAATTACCGGTTTGCTAAAAATCGCAATCACCCAGGGATCTCTGTACCGCACTCGATCCAGTAATCATGTAAATTTCCCCCTTTTGCGCAATTGACTGCGACCTTTATTTATGGCGACGCGCCAATTAAAACGCCGTTGATTGGAAAGCAGTATAATGTAAGCAAAAAGCACCCAAAGAAAATCAAGAGCCCGGCAGCATCCAGAGCAACAAGTTGGCGGACAGAGTCTGACATTAAACCCTAACTAGACCGCTGGATGTGGTGCATGTGGAGGCGGTTTGGTAACCACCAGTTACCTGCCACCGCTAACCTGTTGATATGCAGCCGCACCAGCTGCCTGGCAACCACATTGCATTGACTGAATCTCATATGCGCATATTATTAGCCAGTGGAATTAGTCAATAAGCTGTGGTTGCCATCATTGTCTCACTTTTAGTTTATATGGTAGAATTATGGGAACGGAAATTTCAGTGTTTTACCGAGTGCCGCACTAATTAAGCCTTTCCATGGCAATATCAATCAATTATAAACTTCCTGCGTAACCAGGACCAATTAGGAGCTTGCTCTAATGAGCGCAAAGGACAAGGACAGAAAGCATGAAACCAGAAAATCGAAACCCCAAAACTCTGTTATTATGGGGGATTTTCCGTCTTTCGTTTTTCCAAAATGATTTTGGGGGATTTTCATTTTGGGACTACACTAACTTTTTTTTTCACAATAATCGAATAAATCCCAAGACTGTCTATGCTCTTATATACATTTTTTTAAAAAGTTGCAGTTTCAATAACACCGACTAAATAGAGAAAATGCCTAACAAACTATTTGAAAGCTTTTCGTTTAGAGAATATAAGATGAATACAAGCTGAATTCGCTTTTGTTATATAGTAGCAGTATTTACATAAAACATCCTTAAAATCCACTTTACAATATAGCACAGAGTAAGCTAAAATCGATTTTGTTGCGCTTGTTAAATCCCTTTCAAAGTATTCCGCACATGTTTGCAGGTGTGTCCTCCCAACTTCGGTCCTGGAAACAGCTCTTTCACAGGGGGTCTTTTTGTTTTGGGGGCCAGAAAGGGGAGCAGGCAGATTGAACTTCGATGTGGACTCACCTCGTGGGCCTTGGGATGCTGATGCTGACAGTTGTGAGCGGTGGCCGAAACGAGAAGCCAAAAGCAGATTCCAAGGGCTGCCAGGAATTTGGCCATGTTGCGGGGTCGGAACAGGGGGGTTTTGGCCATCTTTAAGGGGTGTGTGGGATACAAAAGCTAATTATAGAGAACCGAGCATCATTGCGGTCTCCCTCGCATCCACAGGAATACGAATACGACTCTCGGGTCTTTCAATTTGTTTGGAACATAACTTTGTTTACTTTTCTTTGTTTGCCTATGTTTGCTGTTTCTCTGTTTGCTTTGTCAATTAACTCGCGAAAACCGGCTCGTATCCCTTTCCTCTCACTCACTGACTCGCACATACAAACACACTTTGTATATTGTGGACTACTTTTTGTGTTCGGGTGGGTGTGTCCGCCAATCTCAGCCCACGCCAAAAAAAAACGAAAAAACTGCAGTTTGCGGCATAAACAAACCCGCACTTAAATGTCAAATTCTCATGAACTGTCCATGCAGCGAATGCATTCTGTAGGACACTCCGCAGCCTCTGCAGCAAAAAATCGACACAGTGGGCACCCAAAAATCGGGAAATTCGGGCCTTTTCATTCAGTAAAACAATAAAAACACACGCGCAAAATGGGTGTGGGGCGGGACGCCGGCGAGGGTGGTTAGCGAACAACGGACGAAAACACAAAACGAAAACGCTGATAACGCGAAAAAACGTCCGAATTGGCTGGCGATTGAAATTGAATTGGCGAAATCGAAAGCAAAACTATCGTTATCTAGTGTTGGCTAACGTCCGAATGCGGATCAGCTGGCCAAACAGCTGCGGGAGAGCGGGATGACTAGTGTGTCACTTTGTTTTGGCGGGCTTATTAAAAAAACCAATTGCGACGAACCAAAAACCTGTTAAGTGTGCCAAGCCTACGGATTTGGACTAATCAGAACCACCTTGGCACGGCAAACGGACTTTGGGGATGTCTGTAGATTAAACACGACAATAAAAAAGGTTTTCTCCACAGCCACAAAAAATTTATTAATTTATTAAAAATTTTAGTTGGTTATCATTAATACAAATGTCGAATTTAATCTGGAAACAAAACGTATTTATGTTTATATTTTAACGACAAGTGAAGAATCCCAATCCCATGACTGCCAAACTGTAAGGTATTAATTATCTTTACAACTAGATGTAGATTTGCGATTTGAAAATCAACGATTTATACGTGCCGGATAACCGGTACTGGAATTACTTCAAATTTATTCAGAAATATATAAATATTTTTTAAACACATCATCTGGACCTACCACTTTTTCGAAATTGCGGTTCATTATAGGATAAGGGTGAGTGTCTCTACTAAGTCTTTTAAATTTTAGTTCTTTTAATTGCATTGTGGTATATTTTTGTTAACACGGCTATGGAAACACGACCTCTTTGTGGAGGTGGGAAACATTTAGCCGGTAAACTTAAATATTTCATCAGTTTGAAAAATAAATGGTTTAATAAATATAAGCATCTATGTTTCCTCACCCCAAATAGAAAAAAACTTATATATTTCGGAATTTGGATAGCAAACACTTCTGACAGTGCTATGATCAAAAGTGTTTTTTGTTTGGGAAATGTTGTGAGATGTTTCTTCGATTTTTGTTTATTTATTTATATGGTCTTGCAGGTGATGGTGTGGAACCAGGCTAATGGTGCAAGAACTGGATTGAGAAGTTAACAGTGGCAAGGAAATATCGGTAGAGATGGATAAACATCGGTATTCCCCGCCAAACATCGATGGGACTGATATTTTGAAAACATCGATGATGCGTGCTTGTGGTGGGTTTGTTTTTTCAGCGAACTAACAGGGAAATGTTAGCGAAACGTCGAACTAACAGAAAGAGAGAGATGGACGGATAAACATCGATAATCCCTGCCAAACATCGATTTCGCCGATATTTTAAAATATCGATGACATCGACCTAGGAATCGGTGTTTCCCCACCTCTACTTTGCTTTTCAAAACAAAATTTTTCTGCAACGGTTGAAGTTGTGTCGCGGTCGCTCTCTTCTCTCGCGCGCGTGTGTTAGTGTATGCTAGTGTGTGTGTGTGCTGGCGATTAAGTCAAGAGTAAATTGAATTAAAGCCCCCAAAAAATAAATGGAAAACTGTCCTTGATGCGATTATGCCCAACCTCGGAATATATACCAGGCTTGAATTAAAGATAACGTGTGATTTGCGAGTGAATAACGCGTCGCAGATTAGAAAATTCCAATAGGAAGGCCAAAAGTTCTGCAAAGCACAAGAGAGGGGCTAAAAGAGAGAGAGCCAAACAGATAGCAAAACAGAACACAACACCGTTCAAATAGTAGCAGCAATTTCTGCCTTGTGTTTGTTGTTGATTTTGTTATTGTTTTTTATAGGCCAGTTTTCTTTAAATAAAAATAAAAGTTTCTAAAAATCATCACACGATTTTTAAATACCCAATTCCGCGCCACAAATCTAAAAAATCTCAAAATATGCAGCAGGAAATGTGATGTCAGCACATATTGCCCCGCGGCAACAACAAATTTTACTATCACCGCCGACAAAAGAGCAAATATCGCCCCCCAACAACAAGAATAACAGCATCGGATATATTGCACCGATCTGAAGATGTTGCACTTGCATTTGTTTTTGCTACCGCTGCTACTGCTCAACACATGCTCGCAACACATTTTCCAGCCGGCGGAAGCGACGACGTTCCATCAGCCAGGAGAAAAGCCAAAAGGTGAGTTCCCGGAAAAGTCCTGTGGGGGAAAATCTACCCATGTTTGTTCCCACTAATCTACAGGTACAATGAAAGAAAACAACAGTTACCAAAATGGACTCTAGTTGTTGTTACCAAATTCGGGTTAAAATAGGGAATATCGACCTTAATAAAAGTCGAATATGTTTTGTTACTTACAAAATTAATATTATTTTAAAAATATATATTATTTGCGTAATTATGCATACATATATTATTTCAGAAACAATAATAAAAATCTATTGAAAAAACACTTCTTTTACCCAATTGCTTTAACAATTTTTCCATAATTTTAATTTAGTAACGGTGGGGCTAAGCCGACTTCTATCAATATTCTTTTTGGCTCTCGAGTCTAGTTTGTTGCCTAATCAAGTTCAGCTAACCAACACGCACAAGTACAGTGGTTAGAAAAGCTCAACAAAAGAATGTGATAAATTGATTTTGGCAATAGGTGTAGCTAACAATTTAAACAAGTGTTGGCACCACCAATGGAATAAGTAAATTAGTTAGATAAACTACCAGTTTGTGATTCAATTTAGGGTTGAGCTACTTTCAAGTCCAAACACATATAAGCTTTAACCATTTTATTCACAATAGATAAATACTAATGTGAGTCCCCCCTAAACTCAATTTAGTTTGATAGAAATACGCTTGACAGTATTGCATATATTTCAAATTTCAAATGGCTTAAATTACTTCCATTAATTTTTAAATTTTATTTGTTTTTGCAAATTATTTACTTTCATCTTGAGATTGTTCTGCCTTGAAGAATATCGTAGCGAAAATGTTACTTTCCCATTTTGTTACGAAAAAAAATATTTAATTAAAAATAATTCTTATAATGACTAATGATCGCGGGGCTTAATAAAATGTTATAATTTTTTTATTTATTTTAGCTGCATACATATCATTTTTATCCCAGTGAATCGTACTAATAATAATTTTTGTATTTAGAAACAAAAAATATATAATGAGTAATAAATTAAAATGATAGAAAGAAATGACTGTATTCAGTTTTATTTTTAACTGGAAGATTTTAAACATATTTGTTATATTATTTATCTTAAATCAGCTAAAATCTCCTTGATGTTAAACCACTGTGCTCCGCCCATTTGCCCGCCTAACCCGCCTCGCATTTGTTAAACTCTCGCCCATCCAAACAACCTTGAAAAACCAGCTTCTATTTGTTGATTTTGTCGCTGACTTGGCTACTTCCACTACACGGTTTCGTTGCAGGGCCTCTGGATTGCGACAGACTCAAATAGAGAGACATCTTTTCTGCCCATGAGCAAATCCCCTACTCGAACCCTGTGGGCCACTTGCCACTTGGTTATCTTTGGAGTGGCTTTCGCTTTGTTTTGCCCATTTGTGATGAGTGCCATTCGGGGTGTTTGGCTATTGGCAGGTTGGGCGGTTAGCTTATCTGAGTGACGCTTTTATCAAAATCTCACGTAGTTCCGAGATAGTGAAGGCGCCCCTAGGGCAGCGCTTTCCATGCAAATCTACTGGTTGCCTTCACTCACGTAGCATTTAATTTACCAACTCAAATGTTTCGTTTGGCCCTTACCCGCACAAAAAGCCACATAAAAACAAAAAATTCAAAAGTAAAAAATCGATTTTAAATGCATTGCCGTGCTTTACTTTTACTCTCATTGTGGCAGATTTATCTGTGAGGTAAAAACTTTCTTTCTTCTTTAACTTTTTCCTTTTCCTTTACGAAAAACGCCTCTTTGTGGGTCACAATTTGTTCCAACGCTTCTTGCACTGTTAAATCTTTTTCATGTCTAAATGTATTTAGCTTTTTTCGTATTTCATTGTCATCAATTCTGGCCCCAAAAGGTCAGCGCCTTAAGCGCACACTCGAACTCGAACCTCCATTCTGGCCAACACTTCTTTTGGCAACTCGTTTCTTGCTTGTGGTTAGGCTGTTGCCATTGTTCGAATTGTTGTTGCCAACTGCTGTCGTTGTCTTAACAATTTTTATTATTAACAATTTTTCATTTGCGCAATTATATGGCAAAATTGAAACCCCAGCCACAGGCCGAAATGGCCGAAAGTAAGTGGTTAGGTGAGGTAAGACTCGTTACTCAAAAATGAGTAGGAGGTTGGCTAGATAATTTTAAAAAAATGTAATTAAGAGTTTTTAACTTATTTTATTTTATTTTTGCAACTATCAGTTAAAAAAAATAAACAAACAAACAAAAGATAAAGTACTCTGCCTTTGGGGATTTTAATATCAAATTTTAAAATGTTTTAGGCATTTAGTTTTCTGATTAAGCAAACTTCCTGTCGTCGTATATATATATATATTAATATAATTCCCATGCCTTCTTGGGACATTTAGAGTTTGTATGGTTTTTGTTTTCTTTATCATCTTTGTTTACTCAGTTTGAACAACTTGGCATTATCATTATCACGAGCACAAGGCAAGACAGGAGGATCATTAATATGCGGCATCTTAAATGGGCCCAGCTCAGAGCGTGGGAGCCGGCTTAACTTGGTCAGAATCAAGTATCTGGCAGAATGGCACTGCATCAAAATGCAATAACAAAGTGGGTTTTAGATGCCAACTATGCGGTAACTCGAATGGTCAACTAGCTGTGTTCATTAGCATCATAATGATCGGCCTAATTGAGGCTCAACTCAATTTACTGAATTTACTTGAACTGAACTAACACCGCAACAAGCTTCAAGCTTCTCTTGATTGAGTCAGGTCAAAAGAATTTAAATGGAACGAGCTTCTCCGCTTTACTTTTCCATTTCTCTGATTCTCCAGTTCTCCCGTTCTCGCTTCGCAACGGAAGCCTCTGAGCATGCATACATTAGTACTCTTTCTCCTGGTCCGAGACTTTGAATTGAACGACATTTGCATAAATTGCGTCGCCTCATAGAACGTGTTTAGAGAGCTTGACAAAGGGGTATAGACTCCAGAAAATCTACTTTAAACCCAAGCTGAAGGAGACAAAACCCCCCGCAGCAATTAAGAAATAATAGACGAATGAGGCATACTGTCAATATATCACAAGTATTTGAAAAAAGGAGCACAGAAAAGCCAAGAAAACTGAAAAAAAAACCTTTATGTTTCGATATTATTATAAGTTAAAACATATCTTTTTTTTACTTTGTTAATAATAAAATGCAAAAGTTTGACAACTATATTCGAATCTAAACAAATTTTTTTGTCCTTCACTTAATAACTTGAATAGAAATCGATAAAAATGGATTTGCCTTGAATTGAGTGGGTCATTACTATATAATTGTGGCAGAAAGAGGACACGTGCAGCGTGGTGGATTCGCTGATTCACTTTTGACCTGGCCACGTGCCTGGGACTTACATCGATTATCAGTCCTAGCTGAGGGGTTGCATCCCCGAGATGGTTACGTGTATCACCATTGAATATAGGAGATTAAGGATAAATTAAAGCTGGTTTAATTGCACCACAAAAACGAAAGAGGGTGCAGGGAATAACTTTCGTATTTACCACTCTCAAGGCAAAAACTGAAACAAAGTGTTTTGGAGGGCAACTCATGTTATTTATTACTCTATTTCCATAGTTAAACCAGGGTGAGTTTTCCAGACAACCCCGGAAAGGAAATGTGGCTTTTGCATTAGTCATTCAGTGGGAGAGTTGGTTAGAGCAATCCCATTGGCACCCTGCACAGCAAAGAAAGAATTCCCCAAGAAAGCACTTGAACAACTTTGTTTATACCAACAGCCAAAGGAAATCACGTTTGTTTGCAGCAGCAGCAGCAGCAATTTCCTCTAAACAGGCAGCCAAACAAATAACAAAGAAATGCCTGCCGTGGGAGATGAAATGCAGTGATGTTACACGGAAAAAAAAGACTGGCTTGGAACTGAGATAAATTCAATATTCAATGCCAGATACATTTTAAAAATGGGAAATATTTTAAAGAATAAACAAAATTGGGAAAATTAAAAGATCATATCTTGTAAGTCATTAAAATCTCAACGTAGTCGACTGAACTGTAATTATACTGGATATAATTATTGTAAATCCATGATAAAATGGGAAATATTTTTTTCTCTGCATTCCGTCAGGCATCAATTGTGTCTGATGTTATTGTGCAATGCCAATGCAACGCTTGATTGGGAATTTTAGGGGGGGGGGGGGGTGGTATAATGGAAAGGGGATGTGGAAAGGGATGGCAGGGCTAGGCTGAGGTGAAGAAGAGCTGGTACAAGGTAAGCCCTCTCGATGATTAATCAAAACAAAAGAACCGAAGCGAGCTGGGGTAAGGAAAACCGAGCAGAGAGTCGAGCGGTTCAGAGAACAGTGAAAGGCCAAAAGCAATCAAGTGAATAAATAATCATAAAAACGGAGGACAAACCGAGCTTGGAGATCTTAATGGAAAATAGCACTCTGAAGCTCACTCTCTCGCTCTGTTTCGGTTTTGGTTAATTTATGCATAGAGCTATTGGGATTTTTGTTGTGCACTGACTAGCATCAGTAATGGGATGCGACAACAACAGCGGCAGAAAATATTCGCAACGGAAATGCGACAACACGCTAGAGTGAATCCGGGAGCGAGCTTGGAAAACACAAATAAAAAAAGACAAAATCACCCTTTTTCCATCAAATTTATACAAAATTTAAAATACTTTAATACTTTAAACATAATGTTATAGAATATTGATCCTTACTTTCGTTATAACATTTTTAATTTTAAATTAGAAACAGTTTTAGAAAATCCAATAAAATGTTGTTGAACATTCTTTTATTTTTTAGATTGAGCTATTCAGAGTTGCATCTTATTAATGTATAAAATTATAAATTGAAAAAACTAAAAGTGTTACTAAATATTTTAATGAAATGAATAATTTTTTCAGTGCCTCAGTGTAGAGCAGGGCAAGCAGAAACCTCTTCCTGGTTATGGTCAGTGAGTTGGATCCGGATTCAGATTTGGGTTCGTTTCGTGCCTGGACAGTTGCAAATTTACCTTCATTTTGAGTCATTTGCGAA